CTCTAATGAACCCAGTGTATTCCGTAAACATCAACAGACCCCAGTCAACCACATCTCTAACCATGTCTCATCTGCTTATCTTAGTTCACATTTCAAATTGCTGATTAATTCTCTATCAATTTCCTGTTTGATCTGCTGCAAATAATGACCACTAGTCCAGAAAAACCTTTTCAATAAAAGAAGAACAACCTAATATGATTTAAATCTACTTTTTAGCAAAAGTTGACTGTAAAGACTGTAAAGTATTCTTGTAGAAGAATCCACTCTGAACTGCTAGGACTGTGCATGTAAAACACTACCTGCAGGCACACGTCAGAAACTATTTTCATCCCACAACAAAACACTAGAGAAGACGGGCAGACATTTTCTGACTTCAGCAGCAGTAAGACACTCAGGTAACTATGAAGGCATCTTTGTCACTGGCCCCAAAGAAAAGTGTGGCAGACTCCTTTTTATATCAGTCAATGACAGGGTGAGTAAACCTTCCCTAATCTCTGTTAAAAAGCAGTGAAATAGCTTTGTATAATTTGTATAAGATAAACTGACAAATGACCATCCTTCATAGAGCTCCTACTCCAGTTTATCAATGAAAATGTGTGAGATGATGCTTAGAAGATGCACTTACTTGTTTTACTCAAACTGTCAGTGCTCTGTTGTGACATCTCTAGTAAATAAAGTGTGAAGGTGAGAGTGTGTAGCAGAACACACCTGATGAAAATGTTGAAGAGAAAGACGGTACTGCGGATGACCCTGGCAGTCCGGCTCTCCTCATGTTGTGACCGAGACAGAGTGAGCCCATCGTCCATGTGACCTTCATGGTGCATGATGGCCTAAAAGAACACACACACAAAACCAACAAAATCCCCCAGAAAATACTGAATCACTCTCTGATCACCACCGTGAATGAACTGGGATTTTAAAAAAGATGTATAGTGTCAAAACAATATCCTGCAAGTCTATGTTTGATGAAGCACTAAGAACTGGGTCTCGACAGCATTAGCACCGTAGGACCTTTCGATGGCTGAAAGTTCTTCTTATCTGGTTTTGAAATACATCAAAGATGAGTGAAACTGCCAATTTTACAGTTAACAGGTCTTAATCTCTGAATGGTCAGTTGTAAACTAAAATTCTGAAAAAAATATTGAGGCTCAATTTAATATTTTGGGTGTCAGTGAAGAGTTTAAAATTAGATTAGATGAAGCATACAAGGTGCCTGTTTGTTCACGTTGGCACAAAGGAGACTAATTTGTCAGCAGATAAGAAGTTGGAAGTTGCTCTGTTGGAACTTCCTGAAAAAAAATCATAGTATTATGGAACATGCTGGATTTAAATGTTTCACAGTTTAATACCAGCTCTACAGGGAATGACATACAGAAACATCTGTTAGCAATGTAACAGTACTAACTGCACTACATCTGTAAAAGGTGCCAATGATTCAAATAGCTAATATATGGAGCTAAATGGAGATGAAATTGTAAGCAATGTAACCATTTGGTCTTTGTTATAAAATGTAAGTTTAACTGCAGAGCTGTGTAACAAACACTGCTCTCTCTCTACACACAGTGTAACATTTGCCTGAGCTGTTAAAGTATCTCAATAATTATGATGAAAAGGCTTATGTTTAACTGCAATAAAAAAACTCAGTGATTCAAAAATCTAACAATAAATCAGAACTTTTTCCTCTGATATGAACTTAGACATAAAAAAGCCAAGGAATATCTTGTAACGCATTCTTATGCATTATAATATTATTGCATAGGAGAAAATGAGATATTCTGTAATTCATGTGGTTGGCTTTCATTTGTGTTGGGTGTTGGGACCCTACTGGTCCCACCACCAGGATGGTTTGCAAAGAGACAACTCTGTAACTGTGGGCTCTTGATGATATGTCATTGTTTTATATCACATCAGTTTATTGTTAAGATTATTTTTTAAAATTTATTCAGGATGAAAAACAAGTACTTTGTTTTTATTGTAAAAGTTAGTAAGATATACCAAGACTGCCAGAGATTTCAACTGCAGATACACCAAGATTGGTGTATCTGCAGTTGAAATCTCTGGCACTATTGGTCTCTTACAGTTATTCACAGCGGCCTTGAATCCAGAAAGGTCTGCTGAAAACACATTAAAGACTAAATGAATTAAATGTATACCATAATACCTTTCTCTGTACTCCACCCATGCGTGCACACTTTGCATCAATAGTTTGGTATGTAAGCCACAGGGAGGTGTTGACATGTTGAATATAGCACACAGAGTCACCATATTTAATGTCTGGTGTACCCATCCCGTCCACCTCCTTCCTCACACCAGGGTCCAGCTTTTCCTGATCGGCATCAGAGAACAAAAACTCAGTCAGATTGTCACTTGTACTCCCTGGCACTGTGGTGGTCTTCACTGAGGATTTACCTTGGACAACCTGAAGCAGAAGGCAGTGGACCTCACATCGGCTTTCTCTTTGTCCATCAGAAGAAGAGACTTGTCTTCAGTCAGGCTCAGATATTTCCCTGTGGTCACATGTCTGAGTCTGAAAGGCTGACCCCATCGGATATGACTCCCACTCCACCTGGAAAAACACAAGAGCAAACACAGCTTTCAACACCACCAGTTCTGATGCAGCACATTTGTCAAAATAAATCTACATTTAGAAAATGACAACAATTAAGCAAATATTAAACATAACTTTCATTAAGCTTATATTTCTGAATTAAAAATGTGTTTTAATTGGTCTGACATAGCATTCTAATCTTTAATGTTATGCTTCATCAAATAGAAGCTGAAAATAAGTAAAACCAACAGAAATGAAGTCTGGAAAATATCAGACTGAGTGGAATAAATCTGTATGATGTGTTTCTCTTTGTGATGGAGTTACTGGAATAAATTAACTTTTCAATAATATTCTAAAAAAAATTATTTTATAAATGTACATAGAAATAGAATATAATCAAGATGGTACCAATAGGTCCACCCTGCAGGCACACTTATTCACAGCAAGTAATTATTCAATTAGATCTAAACAGTGTAAAACAAATGTGGAAAAAAAACGTTTAATGTTTATCAGCTCGCATCATGTTAATATGAGTTCAGTTTTCACACTCCAATCGGGTCAATCAGCCATGATTAAATATAGAAATGATTCTGTATTTGTCATGTCAGAGAGATGTGCTGTGCTTCAGTCAGCACTGGCTACTGTTGTCTCAGAAAGACTTTGAGAGTCCACTAAGAGCATTGGGCAGATTGTGGTTTTGCTAAGCACCAAAATACATGAAAGATCAACCTTCCAGACCTCTCAGGTCTTCTGGTTCTGGTTCTGCTGTGCATTCCCAGAACCAGAACCAAACCTGGAGAAGCAGCATTCAGTTTCTATGCACTGCAAATCTGAAACAAACTTCCAGAAAACTGCAAAACTCATTTAAATCTAAACTAAAACCCTGCCTGTTTAGAGCTGCTTTTGATCAATAATAACTGGAACATTGAACAATATATTTAGTATTTATTATTCTCAATGATTTTGATGATGGCATTCGACAAAATTTATTGTTTACTGCTCATTTCATAATTGCTTATTGTGCTATGTTTTTATCATGTGTAGCACCTTGAACTGTTTTGTTACTGATATGCTTTATACAAATAAACTTGACATGACTTTAGTTCTTTACAGGTAATATATAGTAGCTTTAATATTCATCACAGTGAGATTGTGCTGACTACTGATAAGGTGAACCCAAGTATAAATGGATTCTATTTTGCTGCATTTTACTGAATTATTGATGCAATTTTTGTAAAATCTATATTATCGCATAACATTTCTTCAGTTTTAAGTGCTACACAAAATAATTTTCATAGTTTCTTTACCATCACTGAAAAATGGAATACAACACAGTGTGGTCAAAGTGTTGCATGCAGGTGACCAGTGTAGACAATCTGATACATGGCAACCATGCATGGTAATGGTCTGCAATCCTTTCAAAACACAACGTCAAGCTGTGACAGTGCTAGTCCTTAGCAACCATCACGGCCATTTAAAGGCTTGTGACGCACACATTTTGAGTAAAATGTGTTATATTTTTAACTTGTACTCTGACACTCTGCAGCCAGCAGTACAGTGAGCGCTACCAGTTCATTACTCAGCAGCAGGAGCTGGAAACTTCTTGACAGACACAGAACACAATAACTTATGTGATCAAGTGTGTCTGTCAGTGTGTAGGAGTGTGGTTATGTATAGCAGTGATCTTATGTTAAAGGAGCAGTTTGCTGTGCATATGAGCTGTGCTTACATGACGCGCAGTGTCTCCAGTCTCCACAGGGACCTAGCGTGACTCGAAACTGCTCCTCCTTCATAGTGCACTGACCTGGAGAGAAAATGAAGCCATTACACCAAACCACAAACACTTCCTCTGACATTCAAACAATTCTTGGGCGGTTTTACTTTTGTGCTGTGTACAGTAATATCTATGCACCTGGATGAGTCAGAATCACAGACACTAAGCTGCTGTCAGTGAGGGGGAGTACACAGACACTTTCAGCAATGCTGTTAAACAGTATGGCTGCAGCCAGTGGGAACATCTTCAAACCATAAAGGAGCTCACTCTCTGACTCTCTGTCACTGTGGAGAACTCAGTGTTTCTGCCAGCAGCAGCTCAGCCACAGCTACATACTCATTGTCTCATCTGCAGGGTGACAACCCAGAATACAAAAACTAATAGCTGTAACTTTAATACTCCTTCATAATACTGACAACCTAAGAAAATGTAAGTTAAATAAGATGCTCCACCTAACATCTTATTAGCTTATTAAAGCTAAAATAATAGTAACATCTTGTTAGCATCTTAACCAAGAGAAAATAGAATTTATGTTCAGTGTACCATGGACAAAAGCATTCAGTTGTATTTTAAACAAGAGACAATAAAGAAAGAAGGCTCTAAAATCTGAACTTCTTCAAATCATTTTTAATATCAGACAACATCACCTTCTTTGTTCCTCTCCATGTTCCCCAGATGGAACAGTCAGACATTCATCCATATGTCCATGGAGGAGGCGCAAAACATCCCCTCCTATTAGGAAACCTACAGACAACAAAGTAAAACTGACAACTGAGAAAAATAACAATAGAACATGAAGAGGATAAAGAAGGAAGATGACGTAAGAAAAGACAGAATGGACTGTATAATGTAACACTCCTAATAGGAGTACAGAAACAGGGATAAAAACTATATGGTTGGCCTGCAGCTGTTTTGTTAGTATTTTGCTGAGCATGAAGGTGCCAATTGCAAGATATGGCAGAAAGAGAACTTAAAGAAGTGGGGTAATTATAGAATAATGACTGGTAAACTCAGGCAACTCATTCTCAGTTACTCCTTGCAGGTTCCTTATGTTAAATCCTGATTAATCCCAGAAGTACTGGGATTTAGAACTCCTTATTTGGAATCTCTTAATAAAGGGCCCAAATTACTTTACAGAGGTTAATAACAGGAGAGACAAAATCCCTAGAAACAAGCCCATAAAATTCTTATCAAACTAAGTAAACAAAGAAAAAACAACTAATAATTATCTTCATAATAATAATTTGTGGCCTTGGTTGTGAGCTGGTTAACTAGTAGAATTCATAAAATTTAGCAAGTTAAAAAACAAGGTAACACTTTATTTGAAGGGGGGTGAATAAGACTGTCATGACACTGTCATAAACATGACATAACATGTCATGAACATGAATAAGCCTTCATGAATATTTATGACTGTTGTCATAAAGCGTCATTCGGTAAATTATGACACTTTTAATACAAAGTTGGCATTATTCAAAATGTCGTTGTTATGACAACTTGACATTAACCAAGAAATCATTACTGTTTAAACTTTACCTTTAATAACATAAAGTTACCTCATTTTTAAAGTGCAATCAGTAATACTTTTATAACAAATTTATATCAGTAATGATTTATTGGTTAATGTCAAGTTGTCATAAAGACATTTTGAATAATGTCAACTTTGTATTAAAAGTGTCATAATTTACTGAATGACTCTTTATGACAACAGTCATAAATATTCATGAAGGCTTATTCATGTTCATGACAGGTGTTATGTCATGTTTATGACAGTCTTATGTCAGTCTTATTCAACCCCCTTCAAATAAAGTGTTACCAAAAACTTCAAATGACATGACTTGACTTAACTGATGGTTGTGTAAATTAAAGTCACAAAATATTGTAATTCTGCTATACTTAATATGAACAGCATAAGACAAAAGGCTGAAAGTAAAATTGAGAAGCTGAAATGAGGCATAACTGTCAAATGAAAATGTTGTTTGAACTAAGAGTACCAGAAGGACCTTTTCTTCCTTCTCTGATTAAAAATGCTAAGCTGAGGTTTGAAAGAGAACCTTCAATAAGAGCAGCAGGTACATTTGTGTTAATGTAAGTTTCTGTTAAAAACATACAATTAATATTTTGACTTATAATAATTTCATGGAATAAAAAAGTCTGAAAGTGTTTTGACTTTCACCATAATCATCAAGGTTTTCTGAGACAGTTTGGAGAAGTTTTTTCTTTATGTGAAGGGTATTGCATTTATAGGATCTATAAATCCAATACCCTTCACATAGACTTGGCTTATATGATGGGTATTTCTCAGTTAGTTTAAGGTTACAACAACGGAAACATAACACTTGTCACAAGACGAGGCTGCAGGCCTAGCAAAGTGTGTACTGTTCAACTAGAACTGATGATGGTGACACAGACCAGATGAACATCAATCCTGGTTGGAGCGACTGGTGGTTGGATGACATATTTTTTGTCAGTTTGCTGTAACTCTGTAACCCAATACTCAAGTAAGCTGTTGGAGGATAAAAAGTGGCTGCCAGCACGATTAAGGTAAAATTCATGTGCCAGCTGCAGTTACTGGTTCCATAGGTTCTCCCTGCCTAACATAGATGTGATCCAGTGCTGGCCCAGTTTAGTATTAATGTAAGCATTGGGGCATTGGGTCTGCCTCCCAACCAGTCCAGCTCAGTTTTTGCCATGGCTTCCCAGACTCTGGCCTGTCTGTACGTGGACTATCAACAGGCTTGATGTCGGTTATGAGCCCTTCTCTCTTGTCCTCAGGCAGCCTGATTGCTTCAACTCTGCTTCAGCTTCAGGTCTGATCTTAGTTTGGAAGCTGCTTGATAGAATACAGGGAACAGTTGCAGAGGCAACCAGAGGGAGAAGTGAAATCCTCTTGACCTTAGCCTGTCTGTCACGAGAGGACCCAAATTTGGGTCCTCTCGTGACAGAGGTGTCAAACTCCAGTCCTCAAGGGCCGCTGTCCTGCAACTTTTAGATGTGCCTCTGCTGCACCACACCTGAAAAGAATAATTAGGTCATTAGCAAGGCTCAGGAGAACCGATCTACACAGGGAGGAGGTAATTAAGCCATTTCATTCCACTGTTTTTTACCTGTGGCACATCTAAACACTGCAGGACAGCGGCCCTTGAGGACTGGAGTTTGACACCCCTGTCATTGTGAATGACAACCTGTGAATGACAGGTTAATGGTGATTTGAGCTTCGATATAATTTTTTTAATCTACTTGAATTTGTCCTGGATCAGAGTGAATCTTTTCTTCTACACACTGACAGGTTTTGTGACAGAGTGATGTTATTGTAAAGTCCCTGGAGAGCTCTGACTGCTAGTCAGGAGGCTTTAAGTTCCCAGTTCAAGTGTCTTGAAGAAAATTATTAAGGATCTTTAAGACACTGGATAAAAAACTGAATAAGACTAAAAATTAATCACAAGTAAGGCCAATTTCTACAAGTTATATGTAGGAATACTTTGTCCAAATGGAGTAACAAACCTGTGTAAAAGTCAAAGTCATCTTTCATTACGTTCCAGCTGAAGAAGCTTAGAAGTTAATTTGCTGATTGGACCAGACCACAAGCAGGAAGGAAAATGAATCCAGAAGGGAAAACTAACTGCTCAATGACGTACCTTGTGCTACTTCGCTGCCAGAACAGATGGGAGCCACACTCCATAGTGTCTGCTGGAAGGCTGCATCTACCTGCAGGCTGCCATTCCCATAGGACAGATGCTACAAGAAACATGATAAGTCAAATTACACAGGCAGAGATATTTCTATAATGATATCAGCGCACAGACAAGAGATTTCCTGCAGGTAGACTGGGGAACTTGAGTTCACCACTGGCTGATGAGTGAGTCTGTCTGTTAGCACAGACTCACTGACTCACGGAAAGTGTATATATTCATTAATTTAATAAACTTAGTAATTCTGGTTAAGACTAATCAACGCCAGCATAAAACACTTTGAGTAAACCCTTAAGTAAACATCAGCAGTCAATTTTCTGTTTATATTAACCTGATGAGCCTGAGTGACAACGCATCACTGATGCTGTCAGTGTGATCATTAGCTATGTAGACAGACGCAAACCTGGAACTTTGAGCCTCCAAGCTGCATTCAAGTCCAACATGCTTTACCAACTGTATGAGATTGTTCAGAGAATGTTGGACAGACCCAACATGTCTGCTGTTATGCCTTAGTATACACTAAGATATAAACAGTAGGTCAATATATGCATTATAGATCATTATAGGAGCTGCTGCAGCAAAGGCAGAAGATGAGTAAAAACAAGGAGGACAAAATTCATTTGTAAGTCAAGGAAGGAAAAGTGAGAGATGAGAGCTTGGTGCTGCTCCCACGTTCTCCTACAGACCAACAACTGACCAGATATCTTTCAGAGGAGACGCTGACCAGGATGAGATCATCTCCCACTCTAACCTTCTCTCCCTCTGAACGCTGCTTTGATGCTGGATGGATGGTCCACCAGCATGCCTCACCTACACACACACACACACACACACACACACACACACACACACACGCACACACACAGACTGTAAAACAGAGGATATGGAACATGGCTAATGTTTTCTTGTATTTTACTACATACCACATGTGATAAAAAGATTCACTGTGCTGGAAATCAGCTCAGAGCCCTCCCTCTATAAGGGGAGGGCTCCCTCTATCCAACATATAATGGTTGCACAGGGAGATTTAAAAATCTCCCTGTGCAACCATTAATAGAGCAGAAACAGGAAGTGTGGGAGTGGCTTGATAAAATGAACTAAATGAAAATAACAGGATTGTGCTATTATAACATCTTTCCATCCTCTTGGTCATCCGAGAGGATGACCAAGGTCAGCACCTGCAAATAAAGTGTGAAAAGCAGCAGCAGGTCCAGGACGTTCATGCAAATGCCAGCTCCCCTTTTGGTGAATCTGCAGAGGAAGCTGGAGCGACTGGTTGCTTTTGTTACACAAAGTCAATACTGTAAGAACTACTTAAAGTGCAACAAATTGTAGCTAAATACTTAAATGAATTTATTTTGTTTAGTACAGTACACAGTTTTAGAGGGTAAATTCCTAGGAAGGTTGGAACTGAGGACGAATTTTGGATTCTGTTATGGAGAATTCTGGAAGCAGTTTGTCCACCCAGCTTTACTATTAGCTTTTCTAAGGTCTTCTAGGGCAAGTAATACATATCAGAGCTTCCCAAAGAAACTTGCTAAACCTGGTGGTAGGGGCGCTAGGGAAGTCATCCAGAGGCCCAAAGTGTTTGAGTTAAAAAATGTTTAACATTGACAGGAAATATGGGTAATTATTTGTTATTGGGAAACATTACTAACAATACCTAACCAACCAACTATAACATTTTAAAAAAGGAAAAAAATAATAATAATAGTAATAAAAAAATACAATTGAAATAAATATCACATTTTTGCACTTCAGTTGTTTCATCCTAATATGTAATAAACAAACAAGCAATGCTTGGCCTGGTGGTACATGAGGGAAACCTTGACATCTGACACAGCGTAGGTATTCAGAAGTACCACTTAGATTTTTGTATTAAGTTTGTGCCTTAGACAAAAGAGAAGAGCAGGTTTTATAAATGAACAGTGAAGGGGCCTGGCAAATCTACAGCATTCTACTTTCATTAATAAAAAATAGTCAAAACTGTTGTGTCAGTGATTATTTTCCACTACAGCTATAATTATATTTATATGAAGGAGAGCCAGATTTGATGATCTCAGGGTTAGTGAGAAACTCCAACTTTCTCACTCAGAATTCTCACTTCTGTCAACCTTTTTGTATACATTTTTCAAACTTAAAGATTGGAAATTCAAAAAAAAAAACAAAAAAAAAACTAAAAGACATTATATAACTGCCACATTTAATCATTTAATCAGTGATCACAATGGAAATGTCAGAATGCCTGACACTACTGAAAAGTCTAAGTCATCAATGAAACTGTTTTAAGACAACTAGTATCCATCCATCCATCCATCCATCCATCCATCCATCCATCCATCCATCCATCCATCCATCCATCCATCCATCCATCCATCCATCCATCACCTGTCGTTTCCTCCTGCAGTCCCACGTCAAAAGCCAGTTTGTCTGTAGACGATCGCGAGGTGGACAGACAGCACAAAAACTAGAATGAGGAACAGAAAGCAAAACAAGTTTCACCAAATAGGAGCCCACAATAATCATAGTGAAAGGCATTCTTACAGCCAATAAAAATGCTTAAAGACCAGTTTTGATTTGTGTTTGTGATTATTATCCTGTTGGATCTCAAAATTGTGTCCCAGTTTCAGCCATCTCACTGTTGATCTAAGGTGAAGTTCAACATTCTGAATGCGGTCCTTTCACCAGCCTGGTGCTGCCACCACCATCATTGATAGTTTCTAAACTTTAAAGGCAAAACATTTTTCACTGCAAATATACACTCACCATTCACTTCATAATTAACGCAAGTGTTGAATCAACCGATCAAATGGCAGCAACTCAATGCATTTAGACATGTAGACATGACCAAGACGATCTGCTGCAGCTCAAACTGAGCATCAGAATGAGGAAGAAAGGTGATTTAAGTGACTTTAAACGTGGCATGGTTGTTGGTAGACGGGCTGGTCTGAGTGTTTCAGAAACTGCTGATCTACTGGGATTTTCACGAAAAACCATCTCTAGGATTTACAGAGAATGGTTAGAAAAACAGAAAATATCCACTAAGCGGCAGTTCTGTAGGCACAAATGCCTTGTTGATGCCAGAGGTCAGAGGAGAATGGCTAGACTGGTTCAATCTGATAGAACGGCAACAGTAACTCAAATAACCACTTGTTACAGCCGAGGTATGCAGAAGAGCATCTCTGAACAACACGCTGAACCTTGAGGAGGACGGGCTACAGCAGCAGAAGACCACACCGGGTGCCACTTCTGTCAGCTAAGAACAGGAAACTGAGGCTACAGTTCACACAGGCTCACAACAAACATGGACAATAGAAGATTGGAAAAACGTTGCCTAGTCTGATGAGTCTCGATTTCTGTTGCGACATTTGGATGGTAGAGTCAGAATTTGGCATCACCAACATGAAAGCATGGATCCATCCTGCCTTGTATCAATGGTTCAGGCTGGTGGTGGTGGTGCAGTGGTGTGGGGGATATTTTCCTGGCACACTTTGGGCCCATTAGTCACAGCCTACCTGAGTATTGACCATGTCCATCTCTTAATGACCACAGTCATTAAGAGACTGGATGGCTACTTCCAGCAGGATAATGCGCCATGTCATAAAGCGCCAGTCATCTCAGACTGGTTTCTTGAACACGACTGAACTCGAATGGCCTCCACAGTCACCAGATCTCAATCCAATAGAAAACCTTTGGGATGTGGTGGAACAGGAGATTTGCATCATGGATGTACAGCTGACAAATCCACATCGACTACGTGATGCTATCATGTCAATATGGACCAGACTCTCTGAGGAATGTTTCCAGTACCTTGTTGAATCTATGCCACAAAGGATTAAGGCAGTTCTGACGGCAAAAGGGGACCAACCTGGTACTAGCAAGGTGACCCAAGTTAGTGTATTTTTTTGTCATTGTCAGTCTTTGTCTTATTTGACATTCTCAGAACAGTTTGCTTGTTCATGGAGGCAGCCGATCATTTTAGAAGCAGTGGCTTTTAGACTGCACTTCCAAAACAATCAGCAAGGCTGGTCCTGGAATGATGACACAGCCTTTATTAAGCTTTCCTGAATGAAAGAGAGACACATAAAAGAAGAGACAATGAAAAAATATATAGTTTAAAGATGTCTGGTTCAGTTCTCTGCAGCTCAGGCGACTAGCACTGATGACTCTAATCTGAATTGAGTCTGCTTCTCCTAGTTGAGGCAGTTCTTGTTGCTTTGCTGTGGTTTCACTGACCATTCCGCTGTAGGAGTGTCGTAGTAAAACAGCGTGTCCATACAGCAGAGTGCGATGTCCACCACCCTGGGCCGCCTGTGAGACACATGGACAGTCACACAAATAACAGATAAAGGTGTCCAGAACATAATCGTTGTTCATACAAACTGTACATGCAGAGAACATTCAGGTTTCACTTTAGAAAGCTTAACAGAGTGCAAAATCCCTGCTAACACACAGAAAAGGTGTAAGCCATCAAAAAATTCTAAAATTCTAAATCTATACCATACCAACTTTATTTATAAAGCACTTTAAAACAACCACAGCTGATACAAAGTGCTGTACATCAAACACAACATTAAAAAAAAACATAAAACAAAAACATACAATTTAAAACTAGATCCCGCTAGAGTTGAAAGCCAAGTAAAATAGATGTTTTAAGACGAGCTTTAAAAGTGGACAGTGAAGGGGCCTCTCTGACCTGCAAAGGCAAGTTGTTCCATAATTTGGGGCCCATGACAGAGAAGCCCTGTCCCCTCTGAGCTTCCTTCTTGATCTCGGTACCTTTGTAATATCACCCTAACAAGCTGATGTGAGCTGATGAAACGAGCACTCAGGGCTCAAATCAGACTATTACCAGGATAATGGCTTCATTATCAGCAGTTAATTACATTTTCTAACTGCACTGCTGCAGAGGATTTCTGCTCTGGGCAGCAAATTATGTATATTGATGTGATTATTACCGTATATGTGAATATTTAGGTCGGAATTCTAAGTTAAAGTAGAATATTTACAGGACATTTTGACATTTTATTTGTCCAGATATTGTCTTAGATATTCTTGCCACACAGTTCTTTAATAAGAGGAAATTTTTTATCAATAACTGGGTTGTCAACAAATAAAGGTGGTTTGATCAACATCAAGTATCACTGTTGGTTCAAAACAAAAGGAGTTACCTGCAAAATCCAGAAACCTAAGCATTTTATTATTCTAAAATATTATTCAAAAAACACCAGATTTTATTTTTGAAACTTACATGTCATTTAAGGCAAAAAAAAAAAAAAAAAAAAAGAATGATTTTTCTGGATAATGGCATGCTAGTTTTTGGTAGCTACTGTGTAAAGTAAAAATATTTCCATCATCTTACTCAGCATCCTTATACAGCAGTAATATTCTTTTATCTAATCATCTTCTAAACTTTGATCAATTCCGATATGTCAGAGCCTCCAGAATAAAAGGATTCAGATAAAGGAGAGCTGACGCTCAGTGTAACAGACCTGGAATTTTATAAATATTTTATTCTTATAACATTTGACAATCCGAACAGAGCCAGAGAACATATGTGGAAAAAATATTTCCACATATGTTCAAAGTTGTACCAGAAATTTTCAGCAAAGCCCTTTCAGTTCAGCACTAAGTGAATGGAACGAACGCGGAACACAAGCAGAATGTTTGGTCTTTATGAAGCTGATTGTTCTCTAATGTTCTATTTCAAACTTTAGAGACTTTCACAACACAACTGGATTAAACACTTTGGTTACTAATTTGGTAACTTTTAAAATAAATTGATCTTTAAGGGGTTAAGGGAAAAGCTGCTGAAAAACTGTATAGCATTACTTTCTACTTCACAGAATTGTGATAGTAATTGGTCTGTCTCAAAAATAATCCAAATAATACACAGTTAAGTTCATGGTTATGAAATGACAAAATTGAAAAAGTTTAAAGGATCTAAATAAATTTGCAAAGCACCGTAAAGACAATACTATAAAGGTATTTATATGAAGGTCCTATAAAAACACCATCATTTTTAAAGAAAATAAGTAACAACACTGGTTCTGAAAATTTCACTAAAGATTTTATTTTTAAGCTCAAAACTAGAAAAATATATTTTATGATTTACCACTCTAATAGTAGATGAAACCCACCTGAGTATAACTACCAGCCACATGATCTGAATGAATAGCTGTTGTGACAAGTCAGAATCTGCTGTAATACTATTACTAAGTTCTTACATTAGTACTAAATAAATATTCAAGTATATATATATATATATATATATATATATATATATATATATATATATATATATAGTAATTAATTTGAATCAAAACAATAGTTATAAAGACAAGAAGAAATGCCCATTCATCCATTTAGCGTCTCCGTTAAGCTCCATTAAAACAGCAGTCTGCCCAATTACACATGAACTAATGAACATCAATAGTCTCTTTTTCAATGAAAAAGGCATAAAGGTCAGAAAAAAGAGTGAAAAAAACAAAGTGATCAGAAAGTAAAATGACTGTCATCCCTGGAACATAGATGTGGTTTCACTCACCCCTTCAGCCTTCTCCTCTGTGCTGGCCAGCATCTCCTGAAGGGCTCGGACAGATAGGGACTGCTCCAGCACAAAGGTACAGATGGAAAGATCTGGAGGAACATTCTGGAAGTAGAAAAACACAGCTTGGAGGGCTGATGTTGGCTGAGAAGCTCAGAGGATGGTCAGCAGTTCAGTGTGTATTATTTTAGAAAAAAGTCCAAAGTCTTGAAATAGATCATGAAGAAGTGTAGGACTGTTCATGTCCATCATGTCTACAATGTTCCACAGACGGTGACATGGTCAAATGGAGACTTTCTGAAATATCTGGAGTAGTCTATGGTAACCAGCCGCAAACATTAAAACTCACCATTCTCACAAATTGTACATTGAACCTCATTAGACCTGCACAACTCCAGACCCAGACCCAATGAACAGTTGAAATATTTCAGAGTTTGCAATAAACCCAAAGCATGTTTCATTTCTTGAACTGAAGTAATCTACTTTTTTGTTGATGTATTTTTTTGTGCCTGCAACAAAAAAAAAAAAAAAAAAAAAAGGCACAAATTACATACAGAAATAAGTAAAGTATGATCAGTACCTTGGAGTTGGAGATGGACTCTAGGAAGCAGAGTCTGTTTCCAAAGCCTTCAGCTGCCAGGCAGAGCTTCTGCTGCTCTTTTTGAATTGTAGCCGAGCATTGTAGAACCACTTCATCATCCTGAGCAAAAGAAAATAACAAAAATAGCAAGTTATAACAAAGACTAGACCGGACCCAATCTGGTCCAGTGCAGTCCGACCTGACCCGGTCCAGTCTGGCCTTGCTGTAGCTAGGCTCTGGCAGTGTTTGCGCTGAGCAGAGCATTGCCTTGAAAGCAGGACAGGATTGCTATGTCAAAACATGCAAATCTGTATACGTCATTATTTACTCGTGAGACAGCAATGAACAACACAGAGCTTCTCACCCACCCGTCACCTCAGGAAGCCGAGGTCAAACTTCAGCTCACCATGGGACCAGGCAACAGGCCATCAAAGAATTACAAACCCAGCTATGTCTCGGCATAAAGCAGCAACAGACTAGAGGAGAGAATGAGTAGTCACTGGGAGAATATTCATCTCTTTACATCTCTGTACATTGATTGGTTGAGGCCAATCAACCAGTCAATGGCTGATTTTGAATCATTTTGGGTTCCAGAGAGTGAGGTGGAATTGGGCCATAACGGCTGATGCAAAGAAGCCGAACCTGGTTTGAACACAGCCCAGGTCTGGCTGGGCTGCAAAAAGGGGCAACAGCAAAAATAATAATAATAACAAAAAAGCGAAAGCTGAGTGCTGTCAGGTCCCTGATAGATCCTCTCTATATTGCTGCCAAAGCCACACACAGATTCACCCCGGTGTGCAATGAGCCTCAGTAGGTCCATGTGACTATGGTAATCCTCTTAGCAGCCAGATAGTAACAGCACTACAACATGTTCTGGATCCCAGTGTGACAATCAATTTAAAGCAGGTCTGCTCTCATATCACAAACTAATTCTGCTCTGTCAGGAGTGGAGGCAGGACCCTGTGCTTGTTGATCAAGAGGGATGCAGCTACACATCAGCAGCATCACACCTCTGTAACCTTCACTGATGTGACGACTAGAGATGCCAATAAAATAATTATCAGAAAATCATAAAGTGTTTATTAGGTGGGAGCAGAATCCAACTGCTGCTGCATCATTCAGTCCTTTCAGTGCTGCTGTTCTTTGAGTGAAACTCATCAGAAAGATTTCTCTAGAAAAACCCAGAACAGAACAAATATCCTCATGCAACATGTCAGGATCCCAATCTGTATTAGTAATCCTGTTTGTGGGACAGGTCTGCTAGCTAATTTCAGAACTGATCCGTTTGATTCACTGAGCAGGACCAGTGTGAATATACGGTAAATGAAAAAATGGACAGTATCAGCAAATGCTGGGCTCAGGCTGCACAGCTGGGTTGTGTAAGTCCAGTATTAACATTATGAAACATGTGAATGTAGTTCACTTCACAGGAGAAATTACAGACAGGTGCAGTTTCAGATTCTCTTTGAAACAGTCAGAGCTTCATCTTAACAGTTGTCAAAGAATTTCATTTCCCTGCACTCAGAGGAGGCAGGATTAACGGAGGGCTGCAGGCAAAAGCTCTCTTGCATAATATTGTTTCTCTGAAAGCATCCGACTGAACACTGACAAAAGAATCACATAAAACAGTTTTCCTGTATAAAAATATGAATATTAAAAACATCATGCATAGGGTGACTAAATTTGTGCTTAACAAATATGTTTCAGATAACAATATAAATTGTAGTATAATTAAATACCTCTAAATATTATATAAAAGTTATTTGACAAGACCTATTTATTGCAGCTTAAAGGATGACATGACAGAGTCCAGTTAAAACAACATAGATTATTTCTTAACAAAGTTCCAATTAATCTCTGACCTTTATTATTATTATTATTATTATTATTATTATTATTATTATTATTATTATTATTATTATTATTATTA